AATACAGTTGGTTTGAGAATCATATGACAGAGGCAGATCTGGCCGGAGAATGATACGATTGCTATTGTGGTGGGCTTCTCGCCTTGACCGACTAGATTTTTAACCAGACACCAATCATGTCTAGAAGTGGCATCCTATATTTATTCGTCTTATATGTACAATCGAGTATAAGAATATCTGAATAAGCATGCAGGTATGTAAACGATTCTGGATGAGCGAACAAGATGGCTGTTTTGGGTTATTATTCTTTTGTATCTGCCTGGCTGGTATGATGGTGGGTGATTGAGTGTGGGCAGTGGCGGTGATGTCGGCAGTAGCAGTAGTAGTAATAGCCGCCGGCGGAAACGGCGGAGATTTTTGAGGAGATTCTGGAGCTGGAGGAGGAGGAGGAGGAGGAGCGAGATCAATATTCTTTCGTGCGTGATCTGGAAGGTACCGTGATGTGACATCATCATCCTTCAGCCTAGGTGGGGGCTCGCAGCCTTTTATCCTTGTGGCTCATATCGGCAAGGACTTTTGCGCGTGACTTTTGAGTTTGGACCACTCGTCCAGGAAACCGTGGCGAACAGAGGTCTGCCTTGCCGGCGGGTAGAAGGCAAAATATGGTCTGATGTAGGTAATCAGACAAGTCGGGTGTGCAGTATCGGAACTCTGTATTGGTGGCTGGCTGCACCGAACGACGACGAGGAGCGGGAACGAGGGCTGTTGTCTGCGTTACTATCTGGCATGAGTGGCATGATGCGTGGGCCTGGTGTAGGCGGTGCAGGCGGTGGTGGTGATGCGTAAAGATGATCTTTGAAGGTGGGAGACTCTAGATATCATGCATGTTATTGTGCTAAGACGCACCTATCTGAGGCGCACCCAACAAATCAGTCCCGGCTCACCGCCCTAGGATCAATCAGGCAGTACAAGTACGGATATGCTTAGCCTAATTGGGAGAATGCCAAGAAAGCGGTGGGCAGAGACTTGACTTTCGGTAGGGTTCTCCGTACAATTCTCCAGGGTATTTATTGTCTAGCGGGTGACCTGATTACAGGGATATTTATACTAATCTTTGATCTTTCAGCAGGGAATATAAGACTAAGCTGATGAAACTACTGTTGTTTTCCGTATGATATACTCTATTGTTGAGGATATCAGAAGATACTCTTCATTATGCGAGTCCTGGTCATATCCTGGTTATACCACGCTAGACAATAATTACCCCGGCGAACTGTACAATAACAATACCTCCGTAGCCCACCCTGAAGTACGCTGTATGTGTGTCTTTCCTTTCAAAGTCCGACTAGACTACGATAAAATAAAAAAGCCACAAAGACAGCAAGCCTGCCAAGTTGTCGCTACAGTGTACACCCTCTTTTCAAACATGAAACACGGCCCACCCGGTCCGACTCTGCCGTCGATGCATCTGTCGGCGTCCTCCATGTCACATATGTCCCTAGAAGGCTAGAACGCAACTAGTTGCCGAAAGCTCCACGTCGTCATTCCAGCCTTTGTCTGCCAGGTCGCTATGTCTCCAATCGCACGCACGCTGGGCGTTGGTTGTGCAACGCGACGCTGACAGGTCGTTATCGATTTTCTGCAGTGAGAGTCGCACTACTATGTAATAGAAACTAACCGATTCGAGAATCAGCCAGTTAGATTGTGAAGGAGGCAGTCAGTCATCGGTCCTGCAGGTGCTATCGTGTTGTGTTGTGCCGTCCTGCCTGGGTGGTGGTGTGCAAGTCGCCTGAGAGGCACTGCAGCAACCCGCCCCCCCCCAAAAAAATCAAAAAAAAAATCGGACTACTATAAGCTGGCGGATGTCGGCAACGGACTACTCTCACCACACGACCTGGCAGACAACCCAGGACTGACAACTGTATACCTGTTCCCAATCAGGCTATCTTCGCCGTACTATGTCGACAAGCAAGGGAGAGTGAGTTACATAGTAGTCGTCGACATTAAGCTTCTTTAGCGCATGCATACCGGCAACTCATAGTATAGCAGCTGGCGGCAGCAGCGACTTAGCTTCGTCTAGCCGCTTGTTAAAGGAGGAGGAAGGATTGCTGCAGAGTCGAGGCCGAGGCGCAGCAGGATCGGCCCGCCGCTATACTGCATAGTAATATCGAGTATCGAGTCAGCTTATTGGGACCCCCCACCCCCACCCACGTTTCCGATAATGCTTGCATGGGTCCCCTGCAAGACTATGCAGGCCGGCAATGTTGTCCATCTTGGGACATCTCGCAGTACGGAGAATGATTCTACAAGTGAGTGCGTACCCAAGATATCGCCTGGTCTGTGCTTACAGTATACTGCGCAGTATGCTCGTCCAGAAGAAGAGGCTTAAACGTTACAGGGGATACGGTAATGTACGATTGTTAACCTCGCTTGCTGACGTGATTGACACTGAGCCGCAGCCCTACATGGATTTGGACTGATCCTTTCTCAAGGTCTTTGCATCTCGAGGTCATCTCGAGTGATTGGTCAACAGCCCCTTATCGGCATCCTACTATGTAAAAGCGAGTTGCACGAGCTGAAAGAAGAAGGAAGACATGATGGTACACCCGGTTGCCTAATTTTATATCACTAGGGAACGCAGCCGAAGTCGCCCGTCTCTGCCAAAGTATATCATGTTAATGCAATTTTCTTTTCTCGCTCCAAGGAACAACGAAAGAACAAGCTTTTCCTACACTCTCCGGTCGATATGGCCGACAAAGGACGCCGCCAGCAACCCGGATTTGCGTGCGAAGAGTGCCGGAGACGAAAAGCGCGTTGCGACCGGGTGCGGCCCACTTGCGGCCTGTGTTTGGATAGTAGTACTGTCTGCGTAGTACTGGACAGAAAACCGCAAAGGGGCCCCAAGAAGGGACGCATTAATGCCCTGCGCACGCAGATTGGTCCGTATTGCGAATATACACACACATATATAATTCACACTGCATATGACACATACACCATACACACAGCCTCCCACCCGTTCCTATAATACCAGACACACCCACAAATGCGTGTCTATGCGGCATAGCTAACCCCCCCGACACGACGCAGAGACGTTACAATGGCAGCTAAGCCAGCAAATTGGCGGCTACGACGCGGAAGATTTGGCCGGCGTGCCAGGCATGTCGGGACACGCATCACCAGAGCGAGGCCTTCTGGACCCGTTATCCTACGTCGCCGACCTAGATTCAGGAGACGACTTGTTAAATACGGGCGTGGACCTCTCGATACATCCGCACATCATATCGCCGCCCTCGACAACACATGGCCTGGCGACTTCCTTGGTACACACAGTGGATCCGTCACCATTGGAAATAGAATGGACTGACTGGACAACGACAGCAGGGTTCGGGAGCGATCTTGGCTTGGGGGGACTGGACATGGTTGGGCTAGACGAGGACATGATGGAGACGGAAAGGACAACAACAGTTGAGCCAGCAATGGCCGTTCTCACAGACCACGTACGGGTAGACTTGGACCAAGTCTTCTTCGACCGCGTCCACCTCGTCCTTCCGATCGTTTACCGACGGGGATACTTCGCGTGGGCCGACAAACGAAATCCCGGGCCAGCACGCGCCTGTCTCCGATCGGCAATACGGACCATCGCCTCGGCCATGTCCGCTCCATGTTTCCGCTTCTGCGACCAGCTTTATGCCGAGACTCGTGGCCTGCTGGAGGGGTACACGGTCGGATCCAAAAACGAGATAGCGCTCGAGTACATCCAGGCCTGGCTGCTGCTCGCCCACTACGAACTGCTGAGAGTGGGCGAGCACCAGGCTCTGTTAACAGCAGCACGTGCGTTTCGCCTCGTCCTCATGGCTCGGCTATACGACATTGATCGGCCGAACCCTGGGGATATGACACCGCCGCCCTTAATGCACCAGCAGCAGGCATCACCTGTCGAGAGCCTGGCCAGTTGTGAGCCGGCAGATCTGACAGGACTTGGCGGGGAGGGCGGCTTTTCGGCTGTTGAGGAGCGAAGGCGGACGTTTTGGCTGGGATTTCAGATGGATCGGCTTCTGTGTGCGCGCAATGACTACCCTCCGACAATACATGAGGACAGGGCAAGTAGTGGCATTCGACCTTTCCCTCCGTTACGCGAACAAGAACACACGGAAGTCACGGACATAAGGTACTGACTGAGATCAGATAAGCACACGCCTCCCCGCGCCCGAAGCCAACTTCCAAGGAAACCACTACACACGCACCATTTTCCTCTCCGAAGCAATCCGCTCCTCGGGCAAAACCCCCGCCCTCTCACCCTTCGCCGAATGCGTCGTACTCGCCTCCCTGCACGGTCGGGGCGCGGCCCTTACCCGCGACGCCCATGCTCCCTCCCCGCGAACGCCCGGCAGCGGCACCAGCGGTTTCTGGTCACAGCAAGCAGGGCTCGCCTCGGCTATCGAGAGGCGTATAGAGGCACTGGCAACATCGGTAACGTCTTCCGCCCACACCACCGGCGGCGACGGAGACGCCCTTTGGCTGTTCGCACACATGTTGGCCCAAGGGGCTGTCATCAAGCTTGCTGCAGCGACGGCCGCTACTCAGCAAGGAAGGCCGTCGCCATCAGCGTCTGCATGGGGTCAAATGAAAACAACAACAATAATAGTTGAACATCAGCGAGCAGCGGCCGCCGCTGGGGAAATAGTACGGCTGGCGCGGTTGATGCCCTCGTCGGCGTGCTTCAAGGCGCATCCGTTCCTGCCGGACCCACTTGCCTCCGCGGCGGCGTATTTAACGCGCAGTGTTACCGGCGGAGGACGTCCCGGCACGGGCAATGCCGTAGCCGCGCAGCAGCTGGTGCGGGTGTTGCGGGACATGCAAGGGATTAATAGCTTGGCGAGGGACCGCGTGACGTGGTTGACAGGGGTCAAGACTCTCTCCTGTGAGAGCATTGAACACAGTTGAACACACAACAGCAAGGTTATATAGGTGTGAAAAATATCTTATCTAAATTTGTGACCTGATGACACTTGCCATCATACGAGAATCTGTCCAAACAATTCCATCCGTACAACGTCTCAAGCTTTCGACGTCACATATATACTCTTCGCCACGACATCGGAGGCCAGCGCAGTTAGCGACGGACTCTGCAAGATACCCAAGATGGGCACATCTGCCCCGGCCTTCAACATGAGCATGTTGCGAAGCTCCACAGCAACGAGCGAGTCAACACCAAGTGACGAGGGAGACATGTTCAGATCGATGTCATCTCGTTCCCGCATGAAGATGTCAGCCAGTTTCATCGCAATCGCATCAGCCGTCAGCTTCTGCGCATCCTCGGGCGACTCCGCCTCCTTCAACAGCTCCGAGAGCGGCTTCATATCTCCTTCCGCCTCATTCGGCGCCTGCGAACTGCCCTGCCCCTTCGCGCCAATCGGCGGCCTGTATCGCAAGGGCATGAAGCGCGCGTCGCGGCCCATGGGCGAGTTATTGCTCGTCATGTCCCAGTGCGGTCCCGGGCCCGAGTTCAAACCGACAAGCATCTGCGGCTGATCAAGAGGGTGGAGGATGGCGGTGCCGAGGGCTTGCATCACGTCCTCGTCGGACAGGGCGAGCGACTGGCCTGACTTGCCGAGGCCGTCCGAGACGATCTTGGACTCGGAGGCGCCAACGCCCTTCACCCAGCCGATGTCGAGAGACACGGCGGGGAGACCCTGCGATGTCCGCCAGAGCGCCAGAGCGTCCTGGAAGGAGCCACCGGCGGCGTAGTTCCCTTGGCTGGCCCAGCCGAAAATGCCGGATAGTGACGAGAAGACGACGAAGAAGTCGAGCATGTCCGGCTTGGAGAAGTACCGGTGTAGGTTCCAGGTGGCTGTGACCTTGGGCTTGATGGAGGTCTGCCAGTCGTCTAGCGTCAGGTTTTCTAGGATCGAATCTCGGAGCACCGTGGCACCCTGCACAACACCTCGGATGGGCGGAAGCCGCTCTTGGGTTTCACAGTGTTGCAGAGCCCTTGCCAGATCGTTTTTGTCGGACACGTCGCAGCTGACGGCCACAACACGGCAACCGAGCTCACGTAGCCCAGTCACGAACGAGGACGTCTCGTCGAGCTTACCGGCGCTCCTAGAAATGACGATGATGTTCTTGGCCCCATTTGCGGCCATCCAGAACGCCGTCGGTCGACCCAGACCGCCGACGCCGCCGACGATCAGATATGATACTTCGGCCTTCAACTTTGGTTTGACTACACGCGGCGGGACTTTGACTTGCTCTTCTGGGGAGACTGACAAAACGACCTTGCCCATTTGCTTCTCTGTCTGGACAAGACGCATGGCTTTGGAGATCTGACCCAAGGGGAAGATGCTCACAGGGCTGATGTGTCGGATGACGCCTTGGCCGGCGAGACGGGCAACCTCGTTGATAACACGACAAGCCTCGGATGGGCGCTGTCGAGCGAGGGCGATGATGTCGACCGATGTGAACGACGCAACCCGAGAGAATGCGGACATCTCTAGGAGGCTGTTGTCTTGGAGATCTCGCTTGCCTACCTCAACAAAGTGGCCAAAGGGCGCGAGCACATCAAAGCCGGCCTGCAGCGATGGTCCACTAAGCGAGTTAAGCACCACACCGACACCACGACCTCCCGTAGCAGCCAGAATGTCCGACTTGAGGGAGGCGTCATCGATGTTGAAGATGCGCGCAGGCAGCAAGCTGTACTCGCGTGCCAGGAACTCGCGCTCCTCCTGAGACCCAACCGTGACGTACACGTCGGCCCCCAAGTAGTCTTTGGCCAACATGATCGCCGCCTGACCCACGCCGTCTGTGACGCCGTTGATCAAGACCGAGTGACCCTGCCAGAGGCGGGCCACGTCGACGAGACCAACGTAGGCGGTCGTGAAGGCCATGAGCATAGACGCGGCGTCCTCGAAGCTCATTCCTTCCGGAATGGGCGACACACAGTGCCAGCAGATGCGGGCAGAGCTGCCGAACGGACCGCGTAGCAGAGCCATGACACGGTCGCCGACGGCAAAGCCTTGCGCTGCGGCCTCGCTGCCTAAGCTGGTGATGACACCAGCACATTCGACTCCCACTATTGTTCAGTTGTTAGTATATTTTCGTGATTCAAGTTGGCCAGTGGAAGGACTTACTGATATTCTCCCGCATCTGACCCATAGCAACCATGACATCACGGGAATTGACTCCGTATGCCCGTGGCTCAATCACCACCGCATCCTCCTCTGGGTACCAATCCTCGTAGCCCTCGTGGTCATCAAACACCAGCGAGTCCAGGAATCCTGGCATTCCTACCTTCAAGCTCAACGGGCGCCCATCCTGGAACAGGGCCGAGTTGGCAATCTGCTCAGGTTCTGCAGCATCGGGCGACAGTGTCTTGTCGAGAGGCGCGTTCTTGTATATGCGGGGAACTAATACGAGGCCGTCTCGCAGGGCAAACTCGTTCTCCTCGGAGTCTGACGGCCCCTGGCGACTTCCCACGCCCTCTGTCAGCACGTGGACGATGGCTGAAACGTCGGGTTCTGACCATGCCGGATTTTTGGCGTCTAGATCCAGCGTCACCAGACTGCGGCCGACGTATTCGTTGCGAATAACACGCAGGAAGCCATTGGCCAAGGCCATGTCGGGGTCTGTGCATTCCACTGCACCTCCTCGAGTGACCCACAGTACACCTTTGGAGGTAGTCAGCATGGCCCGGATGCCATCCAGTGCTGCGGTGTCAGATAGGTTGTTCAGCAATGGCTGGCCTGCCTCGCCGAGGAAGACACAGAACTTGGCGGTGCATGAAATTGTAGGAGACTCGAGCGACTGTACGGCAGGAAGAGGTCCGCCGACAGTCTTCGCAATGGTTGCTCTCAGGGCCTGTAGCCAGTTGTCTGGAGGTAGTGCAGCATTGCTTGTGACGATGACGATGCTGTCTTCCGACAGCCTGGATGGGAGCGCGGGCACTGATGCCAGAATGCTGCTGAGGGAGTACATGTCCTGATGAGTCTCGTAGTCGCGGAGCTCGAGATCGATACCGTTGAAACCGGCACTCTTAAGAACGGTTTCCCACCCAGCACTGGAGAAGGACGGGCTAGACTTGCGCTCCGGTTCCTCGCTCCGCCACCAACCCGGAAGCAGGCCATAGACAAACTGGATGTCGACCTGATCCTGCGTCGTCTCCATGAGCAACAGCGAGGCACCCGGCTTCATCAACTTGCGGACGTTCTCTAACGTGCGAGCCATCCCCTTGGTAGCATGCAACACGCGGGAAGCAACAACGACATCGTAGCTCTCCAGCTGGAAGCCCTGCGCCGCCGGATCCTGCTCGATGTCCAGCCTGTCGAACCGCATGTCGACCTGACTGGCAAACTCGTCGCGTGCCGCCTCAAAGAACCCCGACGAGATATCCGTGAAGTGCCAGCTATCGACAAACGGCCCGCCCTCATCCTGGGCACCCATCGCCCGCAAAGCATGCCGCGTAGCACCGCCAGCCCCGGCACCGATCTCCAGCACGCGTACGCGCGGGTTCTTGTGCGCGACGGCGCGCAGCAGTGCGGTAAGCTGGGCGAAGCCGGGCGCGAAGCGCACGCCGTTGGCCTCGTATTTGAACAGCAGTTTGTCCTGCATCATGGCCTCGAGCGGGGCCTGCTCGCCGCGGAGGATGGGCGCGAGTAAGGGGCCCAGGCGGCAGATCAGCTCGCCGTCGGCGCTCTTGGACTCGGCGAAGGCGATGTTGCGCTCTCGCTCGAGGGGGGAGTCGTGGGTCCATTTGTCGCTGTTGGGGCCTAGACGGCACGAGGCGGCGAGGGCGAGGGTGTCTTTCATCCAGGCGTGGTATTTGACGTGGTGTGGGTTGAGGTTGGTGATGTCTTGCTCTGTGAGGGATTGAAGTGCGTCGTGGCAGAAGTAGACGCAGATACGCCGGAGGCCCATCAGGACGTGCTTGTCTTTGAGTTTCAGCTCGCGGGGTGGACCGAGCCAGGTCTTGGCTGCTTGTGATCCGCCGGATAAACCGGTTGAGAGCAGTAGGTCGGGGGCCCATTCAACCTTGGCGTACATGTCCTTGGTCCATTGGGGCTGCTGTTCGGGGTTGAAACTGCGACCAAGAGACTGGCAGACGAGACCCTCCACTTCAAGGACAGGTGCCGAGTTGTCGACGACAGTCACGTCGGCCTGGAAGCTCTTCGGGCTGAGGTGTCCCATCTTGGTGTGGCAGGTGAGGGCATGGCCGGGCGTGTTGGCCACAGCAGCCGAGACCCAGAGGTTCCGGATGGACACCGGCACCCTGGCTCCTTCTTCTTGAGCACCGCCGCCGGGTAGGGCCGCGTATGATGCTATCACGACCGAGTCCAGCGTCGTTGGGTGAAGTAGGTGCTTGCTCACTGGCGCGTCGGCATCGCATCCAGTCACCTCGATCGTGGTCACGCACTGCCGGATCTTGCTCTTGGGGCTGCCGTCTTGGACGATGCTCGTAGTATTCCGGAACAGGGGTCCGTGGTTCATGCCGTGTTTACGCAAGCTGGCCCACATGTCCTCGGGGTCGATGCGTCGCGTGTAGCCCGAATCTTCCAAGGGATTTGGTACAGATTTCTTGTCTACTAGGTTCGAGTCGACAGTGATAAGACCCTTGGCATGCTGCGTCCAGTGGCTGTCCTGAGTGACAGACAAAATCTCGAACTCCCTCCAGCCTCGAGCACCAATGATCTTGTCGCTGACAGTCCGAAGCACGGTTTGTATCTCGATCCCGTCGGCGTTGTCTGGAACCACGAGCGCCTGATGGATCTCGATGTTACGAAGCTTGTAACCGGATGCCGATTCGGCTCTCAGCTGCTTCATGGCCTCGATGGCTAAACTTATGTAACCAGCTCCGGGATACAATATGTTACCTTGGACAACATGATCCCTCAGCCACGGACTCTCCGACACGCGCACCCTCTGTCTCCAGGTAGCAGCTTCGGGATTTGCGCCCGGAACAGGCGAGCCAAGTAAATGGTGCGGCGCCTGGTCCCGTTCTCTGTAGGCCTGGTTAACACGCGCTTCAGCCCAGTGCCTATTGGCGTGATTCCAGGGGTACGAGGGCAGATCGCTCAGCACGCGTGGCTTCTGCTGTCCTGCGCTTCGCGTGGCTGAAAGATCAACTTGGTAGCCCCTGCGGACGAGATTGAGTGCCATTGCCAGCATGCACTCGCGCGCGTCTTGGTTGCGTGTGAGACAGCCCATATAAGGGATTTCCAACCCCTCAAACTCGGGCAGGGCCAGGGTTTCTTTGATGGGACCGCCGAGTGCTGTGTGAGGTCCTACTTCGAGGATGAGATCGACGTTGGCGTTGCCTGATCCAGGACTGACCATGTCGGTAAAGGCTTTGACGAACTGCACGGGCTGAAGTAAGCTGCCGACCCAATGCTCTGGGTCTGCCAGCTGCTTTGCATGTGTGATCCGGCCGCCTGTGACCGGTGACGAGAAGATACAATCGAGTGTCTTGCCTTCATCTTCTCTCTGTGTTGCGAGGGCAGTGCGGAGAGCCTTTCTGTAGGGCTCGGCAATGGGCATCATGTGGTGGGAATGATAGCCCGTATCGACCTTGAGACGGCGCGCAAAGACGCTGTTCTCCTCGGCCATTTCCAAAACATGAACCACCGCCGCCTCATCGCCAGCGATGGTCACGCTGTTGGGGCTGTTCACGCATGCCACGACTGCCTTACCATCCGCCTTCGTGAGACGCTCCAAGTACGCCACCGCTGCCTTCTCTCCCACGCCAACAGCCGCCATGGCCCCCTTGGGACCACTCCGTGGAGTAATCGCCGCACACGACGAGCGGTAGTACGCACAAGCCATAGCCTGCCGCAGACTCAGCGCCCCAGCGGCATACGCCGCAGCAATCTCGCCCGACGAATGGCTTGTCACGGCCGCAGGTGTAATACCCCATGTTTTAAGCAGACGCACCAGCGCGATCTGCACAGCCACGCAGATGGAGATGCTGAGCGCCGTCTGGTTCACTCGCGTTGTCGCCGCGTCGCGCATCAGCTCCTCGCTCAGCGACCATTCGGCGCCGAAGTCCTTGAGGTAGTCATCTGCCTCGATGAGCGTCGCCTTGAGGACGGGATATGGCTCGATCAGCTCGCGGCCCATGGCGTACCATTGGGCGCCTTGGCCCGTGAAGACCATGCCGATGCGGGGCGGGGTTGAGGGGAGGCGGGTGGGCTTGAATTGGGTTGCTGTGTCGAGGGCATCGGTGGCTGGGGTTGGGTCGGTGTCTGTGTAGGGCACCACGTGTGCGGAGACCCAGCCTGAGGGGAAGCGGGTGCGGTGGAGGCTGAGGGTGTAGCTGAGGTCTTGCATGGTTGATGGGCCAAGGCTGCTGTGCTGTTGGAGGTACTCCTTGGTGCTGGAGACCATGCGTTTGCAGGCTTGCTCGTCGCGGGCGTAGAAGACGAGGAGCTCAGACTTGGGGTTGCTGCTGCTCTCGGCTTCGAAATGGTCATTGGTCTGTGACGAAGAAGCTGAGAGGAAGGACCTAACGCCTTCGAGAATGACATGGCTGTTACTGCCTCCATACCCAAAATTGTTGACGGAAGCACGCCACGGCTCGCCCGGTGCGGCTGGCCATGGTTCAAGGTCTGTGGCTACTTTTAGATTCCACTCGTCGAGCCGCAGCTTGGGGTTGGGCGTCTCGAAGTTTACGGTCGGCGGGAGCTGGCCCCTTTCCAGAGCCAGCACCACCTTGATGACTGATGCGAGGCCTGAGGCCGCTTCAGTGTGGCCAATGTTTGTTTTCACTGAGCCGACGCGTAGAGGGCCTGTTCGGGTTGGTCCTCCCGGTCCGAAGACAGCTGCGATGGCGCGCGCCTCGATGGGGTCACCGGTTGGTGTGCCCGTGCCGTGGAGCTCACTGGTTCAAACGGGTTAGTATTTGTCATCTCTGACCAGTTCATGGTGGTTTCTAAGCAAATACAGTACTCACAAGTATTGTGTATCACTTGAACTGAGGCCCGCTCGTCGATAGCACTCCCGCATCAACTCGACCTGAGCCGACTCGGATGGAGTCGTGATGGTTTCCGTCTTGCCATCCTGGTTCAAGGCCGTCTCGCGTATGATGGCCCGCACCGGATCTCCTGCCGCAAGAGCGTCTCTCAGACGCTTGACGACTATTGTTCCCACACCTTCACCGCGGCCATATCCGTTTGCGCGTGCGTCCAACGCATACGACTTGCCGTCGGGCGAGAGCATACCCAAGGACGTCAACGTCTTGAACTGATCAGGCGCCAACATGACATTCGCCCCACTGACGATGGCCATATCGGCCTCACCTGCTCGCAAGCCCAAGACAGCCTGATGCAGCGCGACAAGGGCCCCCGAGCATCCGGTATCGAGCGTGAAGCTCGCGCCACGAAGATCAAAGAAGTGCGAGATCCGATTCGCCGACATGGCAACCAGCGTGCCGATGGGCTCAAACCGCGGCAAGTTATCCTCATCGCGCACAAGCCCCTCATGGTAGTCGTGCATGAAGATAGCCGAGTACACGGCCGTGTTGGAGCCCGCCACGGCACCCATCGGCAGTCCGGCATTCTCGAGCGCCTCGTACGCCGACTCGAGCTGCAGCCGGTACTGCGGGTCGACGGCCGCCGCGGCCTCGCCTGAGAAGCTGAAGAAGTTCGCGTCGAAGAGGCCTGGGTCTTCGTCCATGAAGTGGGCGCCTTTGACGCTCGTCGTGCTGAGCTTGTGCGAGTCCGGGTGGTACGCGCCCTTGGCGTTGAAGCGCGACGAGGGGAAGGGCGTCCATGCGTTGCGGCCTTTCGACATCATGTTCCAGAGGCCCGATGGGGAGGAGGCTTCGCCGGCGAATTTGCAGCTCAGGCCGATGATGGCGATGGGCTCGGTGGCCCAGTCTGAGCCGCTGCCGCTGCCGCCGGGGCCGCCGGTGTCGGTGCTTCCCATGGTGTCGGGCGAGTGTTGAACTAGAGGAACGGGGAAAGGAGGAGGCTACTACAGCACTGTAAAACGAGATGGCCGAGTGGCCTCGAGAAGGTCCTGTAGTGCAGGGTGGTATATGGACTTTGTCACAGACGTGCCGTGTGTCTTGGACTGAACAGTCTTAGCCCAAGACCGGAGAGTGCTATATCATGTCACTTGGTTCCTTTCTCAGTTGGAAGAATAATCTGGGAGAACAGGCCTTACGATATGATAATGCAAGGCTCGGCATCGGGCTTTTTTTCACCGGCCCTTGGGTTCAACCGGCCTTGATCACGTTTTACCAGACACCTTTGGAGTGGCTCACGGCTAACGTCCGTCTACGTCCCTCATTTCTCGACACAGGTAGCTTCCGGCTGCCGGTCACTGGAAGACTCTCCCTTCGTCTGAGGTGCCGTGGGCCCAAGTTCCATTGGCTACTGTGCCATCGTAGCAGCAAGCAAGGCTTGAAACTCCTATCTTTTCCGTCCAGAACACCGTCCGTTCTTCTTCTTGGCTCTGCACCGCTGCATCATCCCGGGAACGACGCCGGAACCGTGACGCATCCGGTTCCCTCCAGGTCCGCCCCGCTCCGCTTACCGTCCGGGCATGTACAAGGACACTCGGGACGCGTGGAGGCGTCCAGAAATACCAGAAAAAGCAAAAAGTCCTGCGAAATGCTCTGGCTGATACTCCGCGCCGCACTCCGGTTTTTTTTGGTCAAAACCCCTGAAACTCCGGCTGATACTCCGCGCCGCACTCCGGTTCTTTTTGGTCAAAACTCCTGAAAATACTCCGTCGAGTAAGGCTAGTGGTGAGATGAAAGCACTAGGCTGTTTTCGTTGTCTTTGAGGCGAGAGCTGAGCTCAGCGACGCATCCTCGTCTTACGTCAGCCCTTCCCGGCCGCGATATTCTCCGATCTGAGCTGCCGTCTTGTCACTTGCTCGTTTTGGCTGTTCTCCTGTTGATTGCGCTGCTGAGCTTCTCGCCTGTCAGTTGTTGAGTGCCTCGCGGAGGGCAAGCGTGGGGGGTTGAGGAGGAGTCTCCTCTTTTCATACTGTTACATTGAGGACACAGCTGGAGATTCTCTTACCTCACATGGCTGTCTCCTATCGTTTATCTCTACGGCTCTCTCTTTTATCACAATATCACACTTCTACTATTGTTCCCAAACTTTTCAATCCTAGCATGGCATCCACTGAGTGTCCTGCAGCTTGACCACACGAGGAGGTGAAGGGCGCCTCCGGCATACCGCATGGCGCCACGCCTTAGCGCAAGATTCTACGGGATGGAGGGCTACAGCCTGCTCTCTATCGTGCTCTTCATCCAAGCAGAGACCGGCTGACCCGAGAGGACCAACGTCCAGACACATATATGCCGCTTGCTAACCACGTCCCACCAAACCTGCTCGCAATGTGACCTCCATATCCGGAAGCGAAATCTTTGTCAAACATCCAAATCACTCACGCTAGACCAAGATGGGATCCATCGCAGAGGCACGACCCATTTCACATGTCTGCATCATCGGTGGAGGCCCGGTCAGCCTGGTCTCCAGTATCCTCTTCCGCCGTCATGGCTTCCGGGTGACCGTGTTGGAGAAGAACCCCACACGCGAAGAGGTAGACACCGGCTTTCAACACCGCCAGAACATCATACGTGCGTGGGCTCAGGGATGCATGCTAACAGAGTTCCCAGGTCGGCGCCGGCATCCAACTCCACCCGAACGCCGTGCGCGTGCTGCAGAACGTCGGCGTCTTCGACCGCGTCCGCAAGACAGCCGTAGTCCTGCCGCATCTGCTCCTCAAGTCGTACAAGACGGGCGAGACGCTCTGGGACCAGGACTTCATCGCGGACACGAAGCGCTACGGCGCGCCGCTCATCGCCCTGCAGCGCACGTCCCTGCAGGCATGCCTGTACGAGGAGGCTCTGGCCCAGGGCGTCGAGATCCGCCATGGCGTTGACGTCAAGGCGGCCGACGTGGACCTGGAGAACGGTATCCTCCGGCTGTCGTCTGGGGAAGTCCTGCATGCTGACCTCTATGTCGGTGCCGATGGTGGGCGGTCCGCCGTCCGCGAGGCTCTGACTGGTCGCGCGCCGCAGCCCGTGCCACACGGCCGAGTCGTCATGCGGATTGTGATAGACGAGAAGGACATGCTGGCGCGGCCGAGCCTGCGCCACTACGTCGAGGATGGCAACATGGTTGTGTGGATGGGCCCAGACTGCCAGGTTGTCACTTATCTCCTGGACGGCGTCTTCAACATCGGGTTCACGTGGCCGTGGTCCAAGGACCCGGCTGATGCGTTCATGAGGCCGCAACCTGTGGACATTGATGCCTTCCGCGCTGGACTCGTCGGCTGGCATCCGGATCTGCTGGAGATGCTGAGTCTCACGTCGGGGGTGTTCCAGTGGATGTTCTTTGAGCCGACCATTGATGGTGATGAGGTGCCGTGGGTGGACAATAACTCCCGGTTCGTCCTGGCGGGCGACTCGGCGCATCAGTCTTTGCCATATCTGTAAGTTTGTCCCTGGGTTAGGGTTATAGCATGACCAGACCACTTCCAACATATCTCCAACCAGGCACTAAAATCATCCCCACACAGTGGCCAGGGCCTAGCCATGGGCTACGAGTCCGCAGCCCTCCTCGCCGCGCTACTCGGCAAAGCCAAGACGCGCGAGCAAGTACGCGACGGGCTCGCCATCTACGAGCGCATGCGCAAAGAGCGAACAGGGCTCATGATCCGCGCGACGCTGCGCCAGGGCCGGCTCATGCAGATGGCCGACGGGCCGCTCCAGGAGGCCCGCGACCGCGAGCTGCGCGAGTCGCCGCTGCCCACGGCCGGGTGTCCGAACATGATGAGCGACCCGTTCTTCCAGCGCTGGATGTGGGGGTTTGATGCCGAGAAGACGGCCGATGAGGCTTGGGAGAAGTATCGAAGGGGGTGTGCCTGATGGGTTCGTGCTGGTTCCTAGGTAGGCCGCGGCAAGTGTGAGGCTTGGCTAATTTGTGAGAGAAGATGCTGATATCTTTGCCTTACGTACTACTTGGCGTGTTCGAATATATTTTGAGTTTGCCAACTGTTTAACGAATTGGGTCTGTCTGCCCTTCCCTCTCTCCTTTTCCCCTTAAACTTCTCACTGTAGGTAGCGCTCTTGATCAGCATTAGGTCGAAATTTCATGTTCTTCTGAAGGGCAATCGTGGAAGACAGTGAACGTGTTTGACAAGGGTGAAACAACACAACAAAGAGCTGGACTCGTGGCGTTTAGCCCGTTCCAGGTTCTAGACTTGGCTTCCCACCAAACATGGCACACAAGTTGGTCTTCTCGAAACTCGTACACCTCCACCGGGGTAATATTTGTTAGTATGTCAAGGATAGAAATACCCTATGGACAAGGGTTACAATACCTGATTGAGGCTTCGAAAGTTCTGTTTATTTCTATAGCCCCACTAACTTTAACAAAAGTAGCAATACCCTTGACAGAAAGTCGTGACCCCCTTGACGAACTAACAAACATTACCCCGGTGGAGGTGTACATGATTCCTAGTTACAGTGGACCCGAGTCTGATTGCGTCAACCCAACGCTCCAGACTGCGGGTGGAGGCGGCGGACCGGGCCGTTGAGAATGAAGTGGGCCCATGACGCGTCACTACTCATCTCCACTACCTACGCCTTGCTAGCCTCTTCCTTCTTCTGTGCCTTCTTATCGACGATCTCCTCGCGTTTGACAGTGTGGATGTTATGCAAGCCCAAGCCCCAGTTGAACAGGAAGGTAGTCGCGACAACAGCGACACCCAAATACATAGTACGGTCTATAGCGTCCGTGTAGGCCTGCACCACCGCAGAAACACCAGCATCGTTCAGGCCGAGATCCCGGATGGAGCGGGCACCGGCGCTGATGACCACGCTCGGGTCCAAGCCAATGAGGTCAACGCTCTGCTGCAGCCGCTGGCGCAGTTCGTTGTTGAAGATGGTGTTGGCCACGACAAGCCAGATGGCGCTGCCCATGTTCTGCATCGACAGGACGATGGACACGGCTTTGGGCATCTGCTTGAGGGCCACGATGTTCTGTACCGCGAGCATCGGCCCCGAGACGCTGGCGCCGATGCCTGTGCCGATGAGGATCTGGTATCCCGCCCATCGAGCCACAGACGTTGTGGGAGTTAGGGTCGACAAGAGGCCGTAACCGATGGCTGACAGGGCGCTGCCGAGCATGATCCACGGGAGGTAGTATCCCGTCTTTTGGGTGAGAGTGCCAGTGAGGATGGTGGACACGACCATGATCATCGTCTTGGGCAGCAGGTGAACACCGCTCATGAGCGCCGAGTCGTTCAAGATGGCTTGGAAGTAGATGGCGAGGTAGTAGTCGGCGATGAGGATGCCCGGCACGCTGAAGAACGAAGTCAGGGTGGCCGAGCGAATGACGCGGTGTCGGAGCATGGCGAAGGGCACCATGGCGTGGTCGCTCTGCGAACGCTCCCAGAGGAAGAAGAGGGCAAACGTAACAACAGCCCCCACCATCAGGCCGATGACGACGGAGCTGTTCCACGCATACTGGCTGCCGCCGTACTCGAGTGCGAGCAGCAACATCACGGCCGCCGGGCTGACAAGCAGGAAACCGCCGAGATCGAGTGACTTAACAGCCGTGCCAAGGACTTGGCGTGGGGACAGCTTTGGGGCAGCCTCGGGCACCTTGTTGAAGAGCATGCCGCCAGCGACAGGGATACCCAAGAACAGGTTGAGGTAGAAGATCCAACGCCACGAGGGGCCAGAAGCGAAGGCGCCACCGAGGATGGGACCGAGCGCAAAGCCCATCTGGCCGATCCCCATGTTGATGCCCATGATTCTTGGTCGACGGTGCGCCGGTAGGACGTTAGCAACAATGGTGGCGTTGCCGGTGAAGATACCTGCCGAGCCCAAGCCGGCAATGGCTCGGCCGATGATGAACATTGTGGACGACTGAGCGGCTCCGCATAGTGCTGATCCGACCTCGAAGACGAACAGGAAGATCAGGAAGCTCCACTGGACAACAAGTCAGTACGGACAAGAGGAGCAGTATGGAGAATCATGTGACCTACCTTGATGGAAAAATGTCGATAGATGTTCCCGCTCAAAGGCTGGAATGCCGAGCTCGCAAGCGTGTACGCGCTGCTGTACCAGCCAATGTCGACAAGCGAGTTGAACTCGGACGTGATGGGCGGCGTCACGGTCGACACGATGGCGATGTCGAAGAAAACAAGGAAGTATGCGGTGACAACTGCCGCGAGAATGGAGGCGAGCTTGACGCCCTGTGGCCACGGGTGTTCTAGCGCGGCAGGAGGCGCGGGTGGTGGTGCTGCAATCGCCGTCTCCGTGTCTGTGTAGTTATTTGTCGTGCCACTTGCAGAGTCTGGCTGTGAGTGCACTTCGGCTGTGTCGTCCAGGGTCATTGCTGCGTTTCTTTCGGGTTCCATGCTGGCTGACACTAGAGTAAGTCGTGCAGGCAGATCGGCAGTAGTAAAGCAGAGAAGAAAACAGGCTGGCTCGCTCGTCAAGAAAGAAAACCACGACTAAGACCAAAAGAAGGACTGATGGGGATAACGGAAATGCGAAGCATGGGTCGATTTCCTATTCGGAATTAACAATCAACGCCGTACTAAACACTCACTGGAGTGGTGGCTGCGTGAGCGTTCTTGGCGGGGGAAGTGTGGGCGGGAGCGTACCTTAGTCGCTTGGGTGGGGTTGATCCGTGCGTCTGACAGCTGCCGAAGGGAGTAACGTTAAAGTTACTAAAGTAACGCTGCGTCATCTGGCCGCCAGCTGGTTCCCGGAGTACGGAGTAATTTTCCGGAGTTTCATCAACGACATCTCCTGACTTAGAAGAGACTCCGGCGTGGTCGTCGATGCCTTTGGGCGGCCCAATTCGACGCATGTACTTTTCGCCAGCCAGGATCCATCATCTCTACCGCTCTCCGGATGACCAAGAACTCCGCCCAGACCCAGAGCCGTATCTAGGGATATTCGAATACAGTATTTTGATACCAAGATACATATTCAACCACTATATATTCAAAGAAGGGGGGGG